AGAAACGGTTTAAATTTTATATGTGAATTTAAATGTTTTTTAGCAGGAAGTAAAGTAATATATTTATTTCCAGATGAACTGCTTCATGAAACGATTTAGAAAAATTCCATTAGGGATATCTGTTGGTGGTTTCTTCTATATAAAGAAAGATTTCATCATCAAGGTTTGTATATATTATCACATATCGTTTATTCCGGTCCGAGATGCGCAATCATTTCTCTTCATTTCTGAAAATAAGTTTTTTCAAAATATTTATTTTGTTTGTACAAAATAAAAAATAATTTTTAACGATACAATAGTCTTCGTTAGGCTTAAAATCGACGAAAATTCAAAGCGAAGCGACACTCAACGGAGAAAAATTTCAACATGGAATAAATTAATATATTTTTTCGTACACAATCGGTTATCCGAAAAATAAGTTATCCGAACAACCCCAGTCCCCAGTTGATTCGGATAAACGACGCTCTACTATATAAACCAGTTTTGAAGTTTCCATAGGGTAAGGAAAAAAGCGTGGGTAAACTTATGTTGCTACAATGGGTTCAAAATAAGTTACGGATACCGATTCGGCGATATTAGCTGGTGTTTATTCTAACACGAACATATAAAATATTTAGTGTTGCAATTATTATAGGCTATATATATATTTCAAATAATGAACATAAAAATATTTAAATTTGGCGAGGTTAGAATATTAGTTTTACTATTACTTTGGTTTTAATTTGTTAAATTAAAGAGATAAAACATCGTAACACTTTGGTGATCAGCCAAAGTTAATTTGCCTCCAGGGAGGACTTTCTATAGAAAATTGAACGCTGTTAAACATTACACCTAGAGGTTACTTCGTTTGCTTTACGTTAGACGTGTGAAGTAACCCGTTAAACTTGATGTTGCCAGTACTTTGGCCAGGCGCGGACCCACGAGTGTTCAGTGATTTCGTCCACTGACTAATTGCGGGCCTTACTTTCTTTTCTTAACTGTTGCGTGGAACAATGTTACTCGAAACGCTTTAACATTTATATTAAACTTTTTACTATTTTACAGGCATTGAACGCATTGTATTCTATTTTTTCTACTTTAAGCGATTTGACTGGAGTAATGGAAAAAGAATCCAAATGTACTTCGCCTGCACTTAACAGTGGAAATGGAAAAAATTCTTCAATTATTTAAGCCTTTACGAATACAAAGCAATGGAACTTCACGACTTTAACAATCATATAAATGTATCAAATGTACAATTTTTGCAACTGCAGTGAAGTGGCGTAATTCCTGATTTACCCAAATAAAATGATTGTAAACAAATTATAAAAAAGTTACGTTAAAATTCGGAGTAAATATAAGTTCAAACTTCGGAAACTTTCTATTTACCAAATTATTGATATGTTCTTTATATCTTTAATATAAATGACGATTACAGACGTTAATCTTAATTGAGAAGATTTGAATTGTTAACTTTGTCTCCAGATTTTCATGAACAAACTGTTTGCTTATTAAATCAATAAGCTCGCTTGAGTAAGCAACGTTTTTCAAGATATATTTAAGCTATGTAAACCGTTTCTTAATACATCACCAGTTTGAATTTGCTTGTGTGATGAGCGTTATATAAGGCGTAAGTTTATATCTTGTGGAACCAAGCGAGTTAGACAGGACAGGATCTGATGAATTAAATCCCAGCTTTTTGTATGTTAGTGTAACCGTGACCATTTTTTAAATGCAGAGCTTCTTAATATGACCCCAAACGAGAATGCGCAACTTAATGCGAGAATCCAGAGTATTTCTCAATAGCAAAACTTTCATACCGCATAGCAGCATTTTCTGATTTGCTGTTATAAAATCAGATATCAAAAAGTTGTTTTATAATTTATTATCTATAGGTGATTTTATTTGTATACCTATTTAATGTACTGTAGGCTACTTATATACCAGCCACATGTCGAACATGTCCACAGCAAGGCCCTCACCCTCGCACATTCTTTCAGGTGCATTTTTCGGAATATATGGGGATCAACTCTAATACTAGCCGGACCATTTACCGGTATTCCATCGAGCCGGCAGTCTCATATGGAGCGGAGATCTCGGAAGAAGTGGCTACTGAGCAGAATATCAAGAAGAAACTATTATCAATACAACGCATGAGCCTTATCGCCATTACGAAGGGCTACCGGACAAGCCCTACAAATGCTTTACAGATAATTACAAATATACTGCCTCATGACTTACACGTCTTAAAAATTCACTGGAAACACCAACTTCTCAGACAAACAGCTGATGGTTTGCACACTTCCAACCACCATCCGTTAATGAGCAACCTTATTAGGGACATTCAACAATATGGCTTTGACACAGCACAGAGGAGCAACATAGTACAGTACACTCGCGCGTATGTGTTTGTTGATCTCCAAGGTAATTCAGTCGTAATGGGGTTCCTACTGCCTCAAAACAGAGGCAATTATACTGTATACCACTGTATCTTGGCTATTTGTTCTTTTTTGTGTTTAATAAATGGCACTCGGCAGGTGCTCTGCGAGGTCACATTTCACTCTTTCCTATCCACCTTTCTCTTCTCTTCACTCTTCTCACTTCTACTATAAGTCTTCATCTTTCCTTTTCCAAGGCAATACCTATTGGTGGTGGCCTTCTAATCCTTTAGTAAATGTAAATGTATTTATACACCGGTTTAGCAGAAAATTTTATCGGATAAAATGGGGTCACGAATGGAAATAATCTAAGAAGCTATGCTTTAAAGTAATGCCAATCTTAAGATAATGCATATTTGTCAAATTGGACATAAATTATTAATAGGATTGTTAAACTGGTGTTAAGTATTAAGGCAAAATTTAGCAAAAGTTCTCAAAGAAAGTCTGTTTTTTTGACTGAAAGTATACTTTTCGCAAAGATAATCAGTAATAGGCTACAATTTGTATATACAGTAGCAGTTTGTGGTAGTAAGTACAGTACAACCATTTAGAAAATTAGTAATTACGAGGAATTACTTTAAGAAGTGTTCAAAAGCAAAAGTGAGTCGCAAAGAAAATTTCATACGCTCATTTAATTATATAATAACACCATCAAGTCGTAAAACTTTAAATAAAATGTTACTCTGATGTTTAACTTCAAACACAAAACTCACATAACGTGTCATGTTATTTAAATGTAAGATCGATGCTATTCCGAATACTTCGATAAAAACGATATATGTTTAATTTGAAAATTTACTGACTGACATCACCATATGTTGTAAACTTTACATCACAAGTTGTATGAAATAAATTTGAAAAAGTTATGTAACTGTTAAAAGTATTGAAACTTTAAAAAATAGTCAAAGAAAGCTGTAGATAGAGTACAATTGTAAGTTAAATTATATGAATAGTTAAATAAAGCCTTTGTTTTAGATTCATGTTTTAATCATTTATTAATCCTACAAACTTAATATAAGTGATTCAGTTACACATGTCTTTCCTCTCCTTAGTAAATTGATAAACCTTATACACAAAGCAGCAATTATACACAAGCTACCTTACCAAACGAAATTTGACCTTACTCGAAATATTACCAATGATCCCTCTCCATTCCACCATTTTTCGACCTTTAACGACCGATCAAATATGTAACTAACACACTCATCAGAACCCGCATCATTGGTTTTTTCTGATAATCTCTCCATGTCAGTTATGACTGTCCTTGCAGCAATTTCAGATAAGTTATTGGGATGAACCTCCGTCTGGGGTTCTATGTATAAATGAACGAGGACCAGCTGCGAGTAAAATTACTTTAGCTGGAATATCAATTTCTATAATCTTTACGATACAACATATTTTGAGCCGCAGACACAGTAGACCTTGGTTTGGGACTTCCATCTCTGTACAACTTCTCCAGAAAGATTTTCTAGCCGAATATCAAATAGAAATCAAAAATTTGATTTACAATGTCTCTGAGAAATTCCTGTTGAAAGTTTCGTTATTTTATTATACGAACAGGAAAATCACGTCAGAAGTATATTGTTTTTCAGAAGATTTGTCAAGAAATGTTCAATTCGGTTGAAATATAATTTAATTATTTTTACATTTATTGCAAATATATACCTTTTTCGGGCGCAGAAATAAAACAATCTGACCAGTAAATTCCCTCAAGTTGTGCCGTTCCTTCGATAATCCAGACGTAATTAATAATAACCAATAGTTTCCATAAATAGAAAATGTTCTTAAATTAGAAAAACTTTTTAATTTGTGACCGGGTAAACCCGTTATTTGATTATATTTTATGAACCAATATTACAGTCGAATGAGAACGACAGAAATTCTTGTTATAACACTTTATAAATTATAAAGTACTTTGCAGCCGACGAATTTGTATTACGCTACACAGCATAACCTCGATTGCTTGGCAAATACTGTATCTCACAGAACTCATTTTCTGTGGAAAAGTTGTTTTTAATAATTTTTCATTTAAACTTGAATAAACATAAACGGATAAGACGTAAAAAATATTTTTTCGTAAAGCGTGTCGTATTTCTATATTGATATTCTATTCTATTCTTCTGTGTTCGTATAGCGTAAGGTTTCTCATTTCCCGGTCTTTAACTTGTCCCGACACAGAATTAATTATTTTTAAAATATACAAAATATCTTCAAATCAAATGATATAATTATTTTTCATTCCGTAAGGTAATTTAATACCTAAAGCAACTTCCAAAATTATATTAATAATGCCGTGTAAAATATATATTAAAAATTACCTTTGAATTGCGTAGAAATTTTCACAAATAGAAAACAAATTATTAATGTTTGCTTGAAACTGCGGCAACAACAACAACAAAAATGCGTTTGAACTGAGTTGAAAATTAAAAAAAAAAAAAAACTTAAATCAAACTTTTAACTTAGAAGGTAATTTTCGTTTTTCTAATAAAATGTAATACAAAATATTATTGTAAATGTTTATAATAAGATTTTAAAAAGTAAAAATGGTCAATACTCTCATCAATCAATCTGATTCTTGCTTTAATACTGGCATCGAGCTTACAGCCCTATAATTCTGCAGTTGAAGAACCCCTCCGAAGAAACGATGATAAACGTATGCGTCCGACGAGCATGCCGAAGCTTCTCATATCTTCTCGGCGATACGTAAGCGCGGAGGAATGATGCCTTTAAGGAAGACTTATAAGAAATTGGGCTCTATTTAGGTGATACAAACGTTGAGAAAACCCGAAAAACTGCACGTGGCCAGCCCGTCCAAGTACGGCGCGAACCCTCGACCGAACTCCCAGTGTTTTTGAAACCAAGACTCTTTGCCCTCTATACTATTTGCATTGTTAATAGAGACGAAGCACGCTCGGTGTTCGGTAGAGGAGCTTCTGTTCGTGACGTTATCAACTGCGAGGTAAAACCAATGGCATCGAAACTCTCTATAGTCTACGTGTTGTTACACTGTGAGCGTAACAATAATACCGTCAGTTTTCATTCAAGAAATCAATTAAATAATCCTCTTCTTTTTAAATTCACTGATTTATTACGTAATTAATAAACATTATTCTACATAATTCACAATCAAAATTTACCAACAAAGCGTAGCATATCTAAAGTGTACAAAATTAATTTCTGTACAAACGAATACAGAACAACAACAATTTGTGGAAAATTATTCATTAAAGCGTTTAAACTCCATGCATTTAAATTGAGAGAAATTCTCAGTTGTAAACATTGTAATAAATCACTTCTTCTTCCTTAGGTTCTGCCACTTTCTCGACATTTCTTTTTTTACGACAATAAACAAAAAAAGCAAACATAATCCAACTGAACAACAGTAATAAAGCAAACACAGCAACTGCGATTTTCCATCCAAAAGTAGAAGAAACTTCTTCAGAACAAACACTTTTTGTAAAAGAAACATTTTCTGTCGACATCAAATTATCTTCTGGGATTTGTGTGCATTGATTATTAGAAATAATTCTGGTGAAAGAGAAAACAGACGAATTTCTTTCGCATGAAATCTCCGAGAAATCTGCAATTTTCCTTTTGTTTCGAAGCAACCAGTCTTTAGTAAATCGCGAATGGCAATCACAAGACCAATTGTTTCTCGACAAGTACACCGTAAATTCAGCAGAAACGTCGATCAGATTCATTAATCCGGAAGGCAATTCGGTTAATCGGTTTCCGTCCAATGAAAGAAATTTTACGTTTGGCAAAAGAACACAATCCGGAAATTGCAATAGAGAATTGTTGCTCAGATGCAAACGTGTGACTTTGCCCCATGTTCGAGAATCCACAGTTGACAATTCACTTATGTAATTATTACTCAAGTCGACGACCGTCGCATTTTCGATCAGAAATTCCGGTATGTTCTTTATTCGCTTTCGATTGCAATCGACTCTGAGGTCGTCGTTTTCCGAGAAACATTCGCAGTTCATTGGACAATGGCTTCTAATGACGTAGAATTGCGTAAAATCCAACAATTTTCTTTCTTCTCCGTGACATTTCTTGTATTTTAAATCCGAAAAAATTCGTAATGAAATTTGTAAATTCGATCGAACAGTGCTGATGAAATGCAAAAGTTCTCCATCACAAGTTATTGGGTTATCACTTAATTCATAACTGGGTGTATTAAATCCGTATTTCCATTCATCGATGTAAATGGTTTTTATGTGACAGTAATCCAAATCCATCTTAATGCGGTTCGGAGTGTAAATCGGCAATTTGACAGTTTCGAAATGGTTAGATGAAGCATAAACATAAGTCAAATTGTATTTTGTCCAATTTAAATTAGGCCATTCCGTCAAACCCGCTTTATACAAATAGAGTCGTTCGAGTTTATTGTTGAATTCGAAAGAAATTTTACTAAAATTGTTTTCAGAAAGATCGAGAACCCGTAAATTATTCGTTGAAAGAAAAATATTTTTAGGTAAAAGTGTTAAGTGATTATATGATAAATCAAGTTCTTCCAGATTCGACAAACCTTGGAAAGTATCTTCTGGAATGATTTCTAAACCATTTCCCCATAAATAGATTTTTTTGAGTTTAGAAAGTCCATCGAAAATACCGTTTGGTACTGTCGATAATTTATTCCATGTGTATTGAAAAATTTCCAGATTTTTATTATTTTTGAGCAGATTGGATGGAAGATGCAGCACATCGTTGGAATGGAAAACCATCTTTTCTAAGTTAATGGAATGGGAAAAGAAATCTTGTTCGATTTGAAGTGAAGGAAAATTAGAAGCGCGAAATTCTGTCAAATTGTCGAGTCCCTTCAAAAATACAGAGCGCAATTCAGAGAATGTTCCAGAAACAGAAAGTATCCTTAAATTCGAAAGACCTTTCAACAAGTTTTCAGGAAAACTTTTTATTGGGTTTTTTTCCAAATTTAACTCTTTCAATAAAGTTAGATGTCGAAAGAATAAAGGATGAACGGATTCAATTAAGTTGTTTCTTAAATCGAGGGATGTCAGATTATCAAGTCCACGAAAGAGTTCTTCAGGTAAACTTTTTATTTCGTTACCTCTCAAATTTAACTGTTCTAATAAAGTGAGATGTCGAAAGACGAAAGGATGAACGATTTCAATTAGGTTGTAACTTAAATTCAGGGTTTTCAAATTATAAAGACCATCAAAAAGTTCTTCTGGCAAAGCCTTTAATTTACCAGAGTTCACTTGTAATTCAGAAAGATTTTTCAATTGTTGGAATGGTCTGTGCAAAAACGACGTAAAATTATAATCCGTGATTTTCAAAGAAATCAGAGAAGAAACGTTGTAAAAACTCAAATTGAATATGTCGAAAGTTCTTACATTTACAATTGCTAAGTCTTTCAGAGACGACATATTATTAAATGATGCACTTTCGAAATTCAACGTTTCACTTTCGAGTATTAACTTTTCATATTCGGATTTTAAGGTGTATTTTATAGCGATTTTTTCGATGGCGTAATTCAAAGCGAATTTTTCGACTGCAAATTTCGCCAAGTAACAATCGATAAATTCTAAATTTTTAACGTGTTTAACTTTTAAACAACGCATCAAACGAAAATCGATGGTTTCTTCGTCGCTGCAAGTGACAGATAACGTATTGTTAAAGCTTTCCACAAACGAATGCTTATTGGATATATGGCACCGATCAGCGTTCGATATACAAGAATTAATTTTCGAATGACTCCAATGAAGTACCATTTCTGTACCGTTTATAATATAAAAATCATTTATTCTATGACATCTGTATATTGGCGCTATACAAGAGAAGTTTCCCCATTGGTTCCAGAAATGTTGGCAGCAATTTACTTGAGATAATAGGAATGGAAAAAGGATTACCAACCTCATCTTTTCTGATCACGGTCTTGTTTCTTCTATTTTAAGTGAGACTGGAGTCTTTGCGCTTTACACTAGCATTTGTTATTCCGTTGTCGACTGACAGCTAAAGCGGATTAATTACGAGAATAATTCGAATGATTCATTATTTTTTGTTCTTATCGAAGATAACGATGACATAATTTTCGATTAATTTCCTCGTTATTCGTCTCGCTCATATAGTAACAAACAGTTCGGACTATTTCTATTATTACGTAAGTATTTTGCGATATTTATAAAAAGTGTATCTTATTTTATTGAAGAGATTTATTACACACACATATTCTAAATATACACTTAGACTACACGTCTGTATGCCCCAATTGTGAGTCAAGTTGACTGTTCTTAAATTCTGAAGATTTTAGAATTTATAAATTGTCGATTGTATATTTTAATATGCAACGTGAAGTTGAAAGTGTCATATAAAAGACACGACTTATTTATTGACTGTTTTTATAATTTCCTCGTTTAAAACAGTTATGACTTTCGTTTTCTAATCTCATTCTGCGAACTTTTCATTTTATTTCGATTGTATCTTTCCGTTTGTAACCTTAATTTTTTTTCTTTTTTCATTGTACTTCCTGACTTATAAAATCTGAAGACATTTACAAGTCTATCATTTTAAACAGATATAGGAGTAACGCGTGCTGCTTTCTGTAAAATTTTTAGGTCTTATCTACGTGCTAATTTAATCACTTGCCCTTCGTTTCGATGACATACGGAGAAGAGGTTTAACATTTTGACAGTTAATTAAATAGCATAAACAATATTTAACTAATACACATAATATTAAATATAAACAAATTAAAAGTTATTATTCTTTTCCACATATAAAGAACATATTTGAAAAATGTAACAATACTCTTAGACAAAATAATATGTGTTTGACCCTCTTTGACCAATGAAACATCTCAAAATGTATGTAAGAAAATTAAAAATAATAATAACATTGATGCATAGAAATTATCTCGTAAAAGAAGGTACGATGCATAAATTAATATGTAATTATATTAGACCAAAATTTTATATCGGGGATTCAGGCCGCATATTAGAAAAATGTAAAATAACATGAAGAGGCGATACCCCTCAAGTATAATCAATTACCGTGGTATAATCATTCAATTATTAATAACAGTCGAGGTAATAGAAATAAAACGAAAATGTTGGAGATAGAAAAGGATTCTTATAAACGTAAATTTAGACCACGTAGAAATTTAAAAATATTGTAAAAATAATTGTTAAATATATCACATGGCATGACCATCGACACTAGATTGTACGAAATAATACAGGGTTATTCATTACATTCAATTTAATAAATACGAATATAATTTGGTCGACTGTATCGAACGGTTTTTGAACTGGTTGTATTACAATGTATTTCGTCACTGCCTAACCGTGGGTTAAACGGATAAACTCGTTTGATATTCATTTTTCAGAATATGTCTTTAACATCATTTCCGTATTAAGTGCAACAGAACAAATACATGACTATTAGAAAAGTTGCTGTAGGACCGTTAATTGTGGTTATTTTTAACCATTTTCTATTAATATAAGTTATTTTAAAGCGTACTAAATATACTAAGATATAAAATAGCCATTGAATACGGTGTATTCCGGGAGAGGGTCACTTTCATAGGCAGGTATAAATAAAAGATATAACGTAATAATCTTAATCTTTGCTATCGTTACTTTTTTCCAGCAACGCCGGGCTTATCTGGTAGTATAAAAGAAATAAAATACAGTATTAAACAATGACTAAAAAATTAAATTATTTCAGTTGCTATAGCCTACTTCAACACGGAAAGAGAAAATCTGTCATTTTTAAGTGAGGAAGTTGCTGATTTCGACTGACTGATAATTTGAAAGCAATTATTCATCTGCTGTACATTTATTTTTTATATTAATTATTTTTAAAAAAACTAAAATAGAATTCTTAATAAAAGTTGAAATATAAGAATTTGCAAGTGTTTTAAAGTTGAATTAATTTAATTATATATTTTCCATGTAAAGAAAGTAATAAAAATTTAAACGTAAGATAAAGTAAGTTTAAAAATGAATTTACAAAGACAGAAAATTCTAATTGTTACAGAAAAGACGAAAAATAAAAAGATATTTTTTCAGATGCGAAAACGTAACATCAAATATCCTCTTTTACTTATTTTCATTTCTAACTTAGTTTTCCTCTCGTTTCTTAACAGAATTTTATAAAATTAATTTAAAACTTTATTATCTTCCAATTAATTACTGCATGGATTATATATATACGTGTGTTATTTAAAGGCGTTTCAATCCATTTACATCGTATTTTATTACAAATATATTACTGTACAGAAGTGTGAATTCATTAATTAAAAATACTTCATAATTATTTTTTAAAATGTGTGGTCGAAACCCTTTACAAATGCCTGAAATTTACTTCTTAACTGTATAGAAGAAAAATAATAAATTATTTTATTCCAGTGGTAATAAGCACAAACACCAGGTATCAATAGAGTACATTTAATAAAACAAAGAACGGATGTGACAAGTCCTTATTATCTACGTCACATTAGTAGATTTTTAATTAATTTAATTATACCAAGACCAGAAAGCAATGTCTTTATATTATTTTATTCCATTGAAGCGCAGCAAATTTTTTAAAATCAAAATGAACTTCAAAACTAAAACGAAAAAGCTGTAATTAAAAAAAACAACGGAAGTTTTTACTACTTAAGAAACAAAAGAAAAGTATTTACTTGTATTTTTCGAATTTGTTTCTGTAAATAACATTAATTAACAATATTACAGATTTTTCGTTTTTAATATTTCAATTGTAAATGTAATTATTTTCGTATTTATAAAAATTAAGAAAATGTCTTCACAAATAATTGAATGCTGTTAAAAAGCTAAGTACCTAAATCTAAGTGTCGATAGTAAATTTTATTATGACACATTAAGTCTAAAATGTCACATTAAAGACACTACTTATTTATTTATTATAATTGTTTGGTTTAGAAAAGTCATTACTTTCATTTTTGATTTTTTTATTGCAGATGTAATTTTCTTTTCTCTTTCTGTTTTACTTCCTCATTTGTTGATTGAATCTCCTTTCTTTTTTTAATTGTACTTTGTACTTTAATTATAATTTGCACTTATAAAATCTGATAATTTTACAAGTGTGTAATTTCTATCAAAGTTATAATTAAATAATATTATTTTCGGTAAAAGTTTCTCGGACTTGTCGGGTATTGTTTATATGTCGAAGTGAGAAAGCGTTTTTTGATTGATGATATTAAGTAATAATAACATTACTATTACAGAGTCTGTAACAGTAACTATTAATAGTAGTTAATGTTAATCCGGAAGGCAATTCGTTTAACCGGTTTCCGTCTAACCAAAGAAATTTGATGTTTGGTAAAACAACGTAATTCGGAAAATACAACAGTGAATTGTTGCTCAGGTGCAGACGTGTGACCGTTGAATCGGTATCTCTTCGATACCACGTCAGGATGACGCTACTGTATCTTTAGGTCGATACAGAGACCACCAGTTTGCGCGAGCGGTTAGATATGAGGTTTGGACTCGGAATGGAGTGAACGGAGAGAAGAACGGAAGAAACTGCACTCAGAGATGATTTAAACATAAAAAAACCGTTTATTGATATTAAATCTAAGTTAGTTATAAATTTAAGGTTACAAAGTTCGTATTGAAAGAAAGAACCGAGAAGACAATAATTTTCGTATGAAACAGTACAGTATAAAGAAATATTGGGAGACTATCCGTTGTTCGACGTAATAATAAACTTTTTTTTTGTCTTGCAGATGGCTGTAGTTAATTTCTTTATATATAATTTGTTTTTTATTGTTTGGACAGTTTTTTCCACAATATTTATGTTGATATTTTGTTTCAAATTTTATTTCTTAGTATTGGTTTTGTATAATTTGTATTTTATTTATGTATATTGTATTTTTTGTTGTATTTATTTCTCGTATCGTGAGTTTTCTTCGTATGTCTAAATAAATGAAAATAAATAAATAAATAATAATAATAATTTAATTATTATTGTAAATTTTCTGCTGTATGAGATTGATAATATAATAATAAATGTTTTAGTAAATGATTACTTGCTTAAAAGACTACAGATAATTAATTTCTTTTTTTACCTTTTAGCAGGAACATCGGCCATACAAGATTGCTCGAATATATTAAATAAGAAACATTCTACTGAAATTTAGTGCATATTTTACATGCACTAAATTTTAATATCGCTTTTATAAATTTATATTTTGATACAAATAATGCTATTTGGTGTATGTGTCATTCATTGTCAACATATTCATCTTCTGAAGTAACTAACAGTTTTAATGAAATTGAAAAATATACCACCGGCTTATTAATAGAAATTTCTTTTAAATATTTTAAGTTGAGAGACGAAAACAAAAATCCAGTATATAAATTGCTTTAATATTTAACATTTATTATAAAATGTTTGAAGAATGCGTCATTAAAGTGGTTATAATTGACCCTGTTTAAATTACATTAAAGTACGGTACTCGCATTAGTCTACAGCCTGATATAGTTTGTATGCTTACTAGGATCGGATTGTATGATTATTTTACTCGATATCAGCTTTCATAATCTTCTATGCAATCCATCCCTACTCTAAACATTAAGCTTTTTGCCGTTTTATAACAGTTAAAAATATAAAAAGTTTTTAAAATAAAATATGATAATGGATGGTACCATCAAATGGATGTTTCTAAAAATGAAATGTTACACAGAAAAAATAAAAGTTCTCCGCAATCGACATACCAAAGTATTACGCGTTAGTAGTATTTACGCCGTGTGGACCGGTCAAACATAGATCCGAAGCGATTGTAGGCATTATCACGTGATACAGCGTGACGCCTTATTCCAACGTTATGTGTTTTTTTATATCCAATGGTACCGTAACGTCACGACATATCAGGAGACCTTTTTAAGTCGTAATCTGTGACGTTCCAGCTAATCACGCGGTTTTCGTAAACGATGCTAAATAGATAAAAGTCGAGACAAGATATGATGTGGAAAGTTCAGAGACAGGAGGCTCCGACTAACTATATACGAACTTCCCATCCATAACGTAAGTGATTATAATTCAATGTTTTATCTCGAAAGAAATTAGAAAAACGTCCGTCACGACTGTGTTGCAACAGGAAAAATATGATGTATTGGGCAATTCTCTACTAATTTGAGTAAACGGCATATATATTAAATTAAATAATTTTAAAAAATATGATTAAAAATTGTGACCCTATCACACTAAATACCCGCTTTCTACCAGACATTCACACTAATTACAGATAACACTTTTATTATTATGTTGAACTGTTTCTGGATAGCAGAAATCAGTGCATATTTTTTTAAAATTAAGTAACTATCGAACGTTAAGAGTAACTTATGTAATAAAGTCGAGTATATAATGAATTCTTATTTAACTTCCTTTGTTATAATTAATATTCGCAGAAAATATTAAATGAATTTTACATCCTGATGAAGATTTCCTGTCATATTTAGCACTTAAATAATTTACGATAATTAAAGTTGTCCTTTTATATTTTTAAGATATGAAAAAACTTATGACAATTGTTTAATTATTTTATTAATTTTCTTATTCAGAAAAATTAAATTGTTTTATTAAAGAAAATGTAAAATAGATAAAATGTTTTACAGAATAATTTAACATCGAAAGAGGAAATCAGTCATTTCTAAGTGTAGGAAGTTGCTGATTCAGACTGACTGATAATTTGAAAGAAATTATTCATCTCTTCTACATTTATTTTTTATATTAATTATTTTAAAAAAACTAAAATAGAACTATTAATAAAAGTTATAATAATAAAGTAAAAAATATTTTTTCGTACAACATGTCGTATTTCTATACTACTTGCATTGTAAATCTAGACAAAGCGTACTCGTTATTCGCTAGAGGTTCTACCGCTCGTGCGCAATTGTCACAAACGTAAAATCAAAAGCACTCAAACCCTCTCTGGCATGCGAGTTGTTTTACTGTGATCGCGACAATAATACCGTCAAATTCATTTAATTATTCTAATAAATAATCCACTTTCTTCTAAATTCACTGATTTTATTACGTAATTAATAAACATTATTCTACATAATTCATAATCAAAATTCACTATCAAAGCGCAGCATATTTGAAAGTGTACAAAATTAATTTCTGTACAAGCGAATGCGAAACAACAACATTTTGTGGAAAATTATTCATTAAACCGTTCAAACTACATGTATTTGAATTGACAGAAATTGTAAGTTGTAAACGTTGTAATAAATCACTTCTTCTTCCTTGAGCTCTGCCACTTTCTCTACATTTCTTTTTTACGACAATAAACAAAAAAAGCAAACATAATCCAACTGAACAACAGTAGAAAAGCAAACATATTTTCCATCCAAAAGTAGAAGAAATTTCTTCTTAACACACACCATTCGTACAAGAAACATTTTCTTTCGACATCAAATTATCTTCTGAAATTTGCATGCATTGATTATTAGAAATAATACTGGTGAAAGAAAAAACGGACGAATTTCTTTCGCATGAAATTTCCGAGAAATCTGCAATTTTCATTTTGTTTCGAAGCAACCAGTCTTTAGTGAATCGCGAATGGCAATCACAAGACCAATTGTTTCTCGACAAGTACACCGTGAATTCAGCAGAAACGTCGATCAGATTCATTAATCCGGAAGGCAATTCAGTTAATCGGTTTCCGTCCAATGAAAGAAATTTTACGTTTGGCAAAAAAACACAATCCGGAAAATGCAATAGAGAATTATTGCTCAGGTGCAGACGACTGACTTTGCTCCACGTTCGAGAATCCACAGTTGACAATTCTCTTATGTAATTATTACTCAAGTCGACGACCGTCGCATTTTCGATCAGAAATTCGGGTATTTTCTTCATTTCCTTTCGATTACAATCGACTCTGAGGTCGTCGTTTTCCCGGAAACATTCGCATTTCATTGGACAATGGCTTTTAATGGCGTAGAATTGCGTAAAATTCAGCAATTTTCTTTCTTCTCCGTGACAATTCTGGTATTTTAAATCCGGAAAAATTTGTAATNTAATAGTTATCACATATTTTTATTAAATCTAATTTTTTACATATATTCTATATATACACTTAGATTACACCTTTTGTATGCCACAATTAATGGTGAAGTTGACTGTTCTTAAGTGAGACGGGAGTGTTTGCGCTTTACACTAGCATTTGTTGTTCCGTTGTCGACTGACAGCTAAGCGGTTAATCACGAGAATAATGAGAATGATTCATTATTTTTTGTTCTTATCGAAGATAACGATGACATAATTCTGATTAATTTCCTCGTTATTCGTCTCGCTCATATAGTAACAAAGAACTCGGATTATTATAAAATAATTATTATCACATATTTTTATTAAATCTAATTTTTTACATATATTCTATATATACACTTAGATTACACCTTTTGTATGCCACAATTAATGGTGAAGTTGACTGTTCTTAAGTGAGACGGGAGTGTTTGCGCTTTACACTAGCATTTGTTGTTCCGTTGTCGACTGACAGCTAAGCGGTTAATCACGAGAATAATGAGAATGATTCATTATTTTTTGTTCTTATCGAAGATAACGATGACATAATTCTGATTAATTTCCTCGTTATTCGTCTCGCTCATATAGTAACAAAGAACTCGGATTATTATAAAATAATTATTATCACATATTTTTATTAAATCTAATTTTTTACATATATTCTATATATACACTTAGATTACACCTTTTGTATGCCACAATTAATGGTGAAGTTGACTGTTCTTAAGTGAGACGGGAGTGTTTGCGCTTTACACTAGCATTTGTTGTTCCGTTGTCGACTGACAGCTAAGCGGTTAATCACGAGAATAATGAGAATGATTCATTATTTTTTGTTCTTATCGAAGATAACGATGACATAATTCTGATTAATTTCCTCGTTATTCGTCTCGCTCATATAGTAACAAAGAACTCGGATTATTATAAAATAATTATTATCACATATTTTTATTAAATCTAATTTTTTACATATATTCTATATATACACTTAGATTACACCTTTTGTATGCCACAATTAATGGTGAAGTTGACTGTTCTTAAGTGAGACGGGAGTGTTTGCGCTTTACACTAGCATTTGTTGTTCCGTTGTCGACTGACAGCTAAGCGGTTAATCACGAGAATAATGAGAATGATTCATTATTTTTTGTTCTTATCGAAGATAACGATGACATAATTCTGATTAATTTCCTCGTTATTCGTCTCGCTCATATAGTAACAAAGAACTCGGATTATTATAAAATAATTATTATCACATATTTTTATTAAATCTAATTTTTTACATATATTCTATATATACACTTAGATTACACCTTTTGTATGCCACAATTAATGGTGAAGTTGACTGTTCTTAAGTGAGACGGGAGTGTTTGCGCTTTACACTAGCATTTGTTGTTCCGTTGTCGACTGACAGCTAAGCGGTTAATCACGAGAATAATGAGAATGATTCATTATTTTTTGTTCTTATCGAAGATAACGATGACATAATTCTGATTAATTTCCTCGTTATTCGTCTCGCTCATATAGTAACAAAGAACTCGGATTATTATAAAATAATTATTATCACATATTTTTATTAAATCTAATTTTTTACATATATTCTATATATACACTTAGATTACACCTTTTGTATGCCACAATTAATGGTGAAGTTGACTGTTCTTAAGTGAGACGGGAGTGTTTGCGCTTTACACTAGCATTTGTTGTTCCGTTGTCGACTGACAGCTAAGCGGTTAATCACGAGAATAATGAGAATGATTCATTATTTTTTGTTCTTATCGAAGATAACGATGACATAATTCTGATTAATTTCCTCGTTATTCGTCTCGCTCATATAGTAACAAAGAACTCGGATTATTATAAAATAATTATTATCACATATTTTTATTAAATCTAATTTTTTACATATATTCTATATATACACTTAGATTACACCTTTTGTATGCCACAATTAATGGTGAAGTTGACTGTTCTTAAGTGAGACGGGAGTGTTTGCGCTTTACACTAGCATTTGTTGTTCCGTTGTCGACTGACAGCTAAGCGGTTAATCACGAGAATAATGAGAATGATTCATTATTTTTTGTTCTTATCGAAGATAACGATGACATAATTCTGATTAATTTCCTCGTTATTCGTCTCGCTCATATAGTAACAAAGAACTCGGATTATTATAAAATAATTATTATCACATATTTTTATTAAATCTAATTTTTTACATATATTCTATATATACACTTAGATTACACCTTTTGTATGCCACAATTAATGGTGAAGTTGACTGTTCTTAAGTGAGACGGGAGTGTTTGCGCTTTACACTAGCATTTGTTGTTCCGTTGTCGACTGACAGCTAAGCGGTTAATCACGAGAATAATGAGAATGATTCATTATTTTTTGTTCTTATCGAAGATAACGATGACATAATTCTTATTAATTTCCTCGTTATTCGTCTCGCTCATATAGTAAGAAACAGTTTGGACTATTTCTATTATTACGTAAGTATTCTGAGATATTTATAATAAGTGTAACTTATTTTATTAAAGAGATTTATTACATACACATATTCTAAATACACACTTAGACTCCACGTCTGTATCCCCAATTGTGAATCAAATTGACTGTTCTTAAATTTTGAAGATTTTAGAATTTACAAATGGTCGATTGTATATTTTAATGAGGTTTAGTTTAGCATTTAATATAAGTAATAAGAAGAAAATAAAAAAAAATTATCAGAAAATATCGTAATACAATCGAGTATTTGCAGTAACTAGTTCAGACGCGTGTAGAAAACCTACTTCCCCTCAGGCTGTTGTTGGGAACAACCCGCGAAAGTTTACAATCAGCTGTTTTCAAGGTTGTCCAGCTGCTTATCTGTACTGAAGCTTGTATCGAGTGTGTTTTTGCGAGTATTGTGTTACATGAAAAATAATAAGTTTCTAAATAATACATTATAAAATAAATGAAGATTTATACTAAAATTTTTATAAATTTAGTTTATAAAATGGTGTATTATAAATTATTTTGATTTTTTGTGGGAGCTTATTGTAAAGCTTTTTATGTCAACATATAAGGCTAGAAACTATTATAGAATAAGTATTACTGTGATATAAAGAATTTTTTTGTATTTGTGTAAAGATATTCATATAAATAAGCTTTTATAATAAAAGTTCTTTGACACTCCTGCATGTAATTGTCAAATCCCAGAAGGAAAAATAAAATAACAGAATTGTCAAAAGTAATTTTTTCTTATGTTTATATATGGATTGTTTCGTACAGATTGTTGAATATATTCTTGCAGTTTCTATTTTTTATTTTATTTTTATCTAAAATCATTTGATCTAATTTTATCTATAAAACACAAATTTACAATAATATTTACATGTATTATTGGAAATTTGTGTTATTTGAATTATTGTAAATTTATTTTCGAAAAAGCCATAGAATAAAAATAAATCAATAGGTTTTATTTGCAGATTTTATAATGTAAAGTAATTTGTTGTCTTCTGTACTAAACGAACTGCACTTTTCTAGAGCCTCAGGGTGTAAAATGTCTTTGTTTACAATATATTATTTTTCTCTTCGTAAGAAACTCTAGGGGGTAGTGTGGGTCGAGCAATGTGGAACAAATAAAATCTTTTTCTGATAATAAGGTAATGAAAAATGTTAATATACAGGATTTTTATAAAAAACTCTGCATTCTTCTATCAAAAACACGATATTTTGCAGGAAAAGCACTTTTAGGAATGCAAGTATTTTTTCAAATGTGGTATCTCCTTTCAAATTCGCGCTACATTCACTCTGTTTTTTGTTTTCTAGCAAAGTCATATTACAGTTTACTGTAGTTTTGTATTTTGTTTATCACGAATTTGAAATTATAATAAAATTTGAAATTTCCGAACAAAACAGAAAATAATATATTTATTTATATAAATTCGCTAAAAATATCGTAGATTTATTAGTCACACACATCCTTTGTTCGAAAACAAAACAAACCACAGCCTTTTAGCTACAGCAAGTAAGAAGATATTGCCATTATTCACACTACTTCTCTAATTACTCTCCCAGCAGGGAGTGGATGAGTCATCTGAGGGTCGAAGTCCACACAAGTTTTCTTAGCGATAATGTATAAGAAACATTATTTTTATATTATTTCGACGATTTTTACAATAATCGACTATACTACGCAATTTCGCATGCAATTCTTTACATATTTTCTCATATTATGTAACAGCGAGAGGAAGGGTTCACTTTCCCAAATAACTTATAACTTCACAGTTCTAAAATAATGTTTACTAACCTAAATACTAAGAATAAATTTGCGAACCGCCAGGGAAGTCGGGGACGGTCTCACTTGTCAAGATGCTATGTTACGATAGTCATCCCTAGTGTCGGGACTTCTGCTCTATGTCGGTCGAGTGGAGGGAGAGTAATCGGGGTCGACGATAAGGCGTAGACCGTATACGAGTAAAGGAGTATACCATTTAACAAATAAAACAATAATTTATTAAAATAAACAAGATTGACAAAAACTACAAACACTAATCTCGACGCTAAAACGCCAAAGAGCTAGAGAGAGAGAGAGTTTACACGGATTTTCAAAATTCTTTGTAGGTTTCCATGACGATTCGAGTTTAATAATGTTACAAACATCCTATAAATGGGTTTTTAGGGTAATCCAAATTGGCACAATTATAAAAGTTCGCGACTAATCGGCTACAAACATATACAAACGATCATAAATAATTATGTAAAGTTTCTTTTTCCCGTCTTTCAATGTTCGTCGTTTGCACGTGGTCCTTCCTCCTTGACCTTCTAGAAGCCTGTCACATAAGTATTCGATGTTGGAAATTCGGAATTTATGGCTGTCGGGTT